AGATGCTTTGTGACCTTTTTCTGAAATATTCGTTCGTTTCCTCATGTTTCGTTGTTCTGTGATCATAAAATAGAGTAGGAAGCTCGCGTTTGATTTAAGATCGATTCGCGATTGTCTTATTCTTTATTCTATGCAAGGGCCTTCGATCACCACCTTTAACTGCGAATCGAGGTTAGTTTACTAAGTTTACTACTGTCCATGGTGACTGTTTACAGACACCACATCAGCTCCGGACTCCACACCTCAGACTGTAAAACGGCAACCTACGGGACAGATAGCTAACGCATTCCACAAAGCAACTTATTGTTTAGCAACAGAGCCTAACGCTCTATCCGCTTGTCCAGTTTCACCAAGCCATTCCGTGTCATGCACACGGTAGCGTGCGGAACTAAACTGGTACATATGATGTCCGTCCGCGAAATGAAGTGGTAGGGAATCTCATGGAACAGGCAAACCGCTAACAAAATCGGGGAGCTCACAGAACTTCAGCTATCAATGTTTTGCAATGCCGAATATGGAACAACATCCAAAAACATAAGCACCTTCTGAGCACACGCTGACTCTCAAAAATGTATGGTGGACGTTTGAAAAAATACGACAGTGACCACTGGGTGTTTCTGATTTAACATAATCAGCTTCAAATATCAGCCAACGCTATACTATCCTGGCAACGTGGTGGTTGCTCACAAAGACTAGGTTAGTTCTGTATTCTACCGAGCGTAGAAAACGGTAAGCTTCAGCGGAAAAAGCAGCTACTGTTCCTCGAGCTGAAACATTTTACGAAACAATCACCGTTGGATTCCTCAGCGGTGGCAAAAACCGTCCCAAACCGGCCCCAAACTGTCCCGTTCAACCGAAATTAACCCTTTCATGCTCGCACTAGTCGACTTACTTGCAGGCCACAGTTCTTTATAAATCGAGTTTACTCAATGTACTCAATGTTAAGCCGAAAGAAGAGCATTCCGCTCACCGCAGGCGCTTTTGAAAAAGTTCCTCGATGATCACCTAGAACCGTGACGACTTCCTGGTTTCTTCCCTCATCTCTATTAATA